GCATTTAACAAATTTGTAACGTGTTTTGGTAAAATAATGACAACTGACGTGATTTGAACACGCAACCTTCCTGATCTGGAGTCAGACGCACTACCGTTTGCCGCCACAAAGTCCCCAACCACAACTCAAAAGACAGGGTGATACACACCAAGTCAAAAGGATGGATTTCCCCTAGTCCATGCCACAATTGAATATACCCAGCAATGCCTTGGGCTGACATTAACCAGAGCACGACATGTGTTGTTGTGGCCGCGTGGCTAAGGCCGACTAGAAATCCATGGTATAAGGCCATGCCACCACCATGCGGTGCCTTATCATTCATGGACCAAAGCGCATAGTGGCAGAAGAATCCATTCGAATTTTGGGCCAGGGGGGAGTGGTTGATACGTCGTTTGTTGGAGTGAGCTCTGATAAGAGTCAGGTCTCAGGCCCATGGGATTTAGAGCGAATGTTCCCGACCATGGACAAAGGACAACTGTGTCAGAAGTGGATCGAACCCACGCCTCCCAGGGGAGACTGCGACCTTAACGCAGCGTCCCTTAGACCAAGCTCGGGCCATCCTACATGACCTGAAATTGTGCTCTGCAGGCGAGGGTTTCGAATCCATCCTCGTCGGACAAGACCCCTTATTCTCAGACTTTTTAGTTCCGCCACCCAAATTACTGAAACCTAAAAAGTCACCCATCCATGCATTGGTGGTCCAATGGTAGAATTCCCACCTGCCGTCAATGCAGCCCTCTTGGCATTTACGTGGAACGTCTGTCTCGAGGCCCGTGGAGAGAACCTCTCCTGTACTTGCAAAAGACGAAAATCCTGGAAAACCCTTGTTTTACACGGTTGGATGAATGGAACTAAAGTTCCCAGAGAAAATGTTGACAAATGTAATTTGGGGAAAAACTTTTTTTTTTGTTGTTTTTACTGACTTGGTTTTGTGGCACCCCCATTTGTCTGTCGCGACTGTCCATTGATGACATGGGATATATAGCAGGTTTTCTCCCTGATTGGGTTTGGAGTTGGCCTTATCGACCGCAGCGTTGGAGGGATGTCAACTAGCGCAGAAATTTAGTATGCAACCACCTCAATGTTTTATTTCACAAACTGAATTTGTCCAATGTGAGAAAATAAAGTATCATCTCTCATCCCCCTCTCACCCCGGCGCCACTGGTTCAAGCAACACAATGAGCTAGCTACATGGTTTGCTACCCTTGTGGGAGCGTCCCCGGGTGGGCTCGCACCACCAACCTCTCGGTTAACAGCCAGCGCGCTGGCCGATTGCCGGCCACAGAGACCTTCCGCTAGCAAATTCTAGTAGAGGGAAACAGACTTGGTGACAGAGTGGTCCCTTGTTTCATGGGGTATGGCTGTGAACAGATTGGTTGTTGTTTCATGGGGGATAGCTCAGTGGATAGAGCATTTGACTGCAGATCAAGGTCCCTCTGGTTCAACTCCAGGTGCCCCGTCAGTATAGTCTCCCAAAGGCAGATAGAGAGACGCTTTTGCGTGGAAATACAGTCGCAGTAGGTGTGGTTAGCTTCAAGCCTACACGTGTGCTTTTGATGTGACCACCTTCGTACTCAGTTGGTAGAGGCGGAGGACTGTATAATGTAAGGCGGAATCCTAGGTCGCTGGTTCAAATCCGGCACGCAGGACACTCCCTTTTGCGCAGGAGGACTGGCTGAAACACGTTTGTTGGAGACGAGCTCTCTGTGAGAGATGAGCTCGATCAAAGGCGAGGGTCTTGGACTCCATGGGTCCAAGTCTTTGCCCAGATTTTTGGCATTCTTTACTGTCGGCCAAAAAGACAGTCAAAGACAACGTAGCCTATTTTTTGTCCCAGTGTGCAGATTAGAATGCTGCAAACACCCAAATAACTCAGTAGAGTTAGTTGTCCTCCTTTGATTGAACTCTCAAGAGTCAAGACCACAAGCTTTTTGGCAGCGGTGGGATTTTGAACCCACGCCTCCGAGGAGACTGGCGCCTTAATCCAGCGCCTTAGACACACAATCGGCCACACTACCGTATTGGCCGTGTTTGAGAGCAAGGGAAGACCACAAATCCAATATTGCTCACACAATACAGGCAATTTCCAAGCACCCAACCTGAACTGGAGTTAGAGGGCGCTACCAGAGCCAGAGCCTAAGGATCGGAGCTCAGTCGGCAGAGCATCAGACTTTTAATCTGAGGGTCTCCAGGGATCAAGTCGCCTTAACGGGCGATCACCCAGGTCGTGAAGGAGAAAGCCAAATGGACAGGCGGAGTTCCTTTGTTGTGACCTCCCTTCATTTACTATAATCCACCTATCACTGTTGCTTCCATAGTCAGCGGTGGCCGACGTTCTGAAGGCAGACTCAAGATGTGCCTCTTCCTCAACTCCAACGCATGGGTTTTCTGGTCTCCATGAGCGTGGGTTCAAAACCCCACTCCCTGACACACTCCCTTTTTGTCGATATTTTAGAGTGGTTTGGACATTCCTTGCAACTATTGAAGAAAAGACAATACGAACTTGGACTTTGGCTTAGAGATTAGTTATAAATGTGTTGAAAATTTTTTGGAACTGTGGTTGTGGATGTTTGAAAAGGGAACTGCCAAAGCCTTGATCATTGACCCTTGACCTATGGAGCGCACCAAAGACCCTACTACACTCGTAAGATATGCCCGGCTACTCAGTCGTAGAGCATGAGACTCCTTAATCTACAGGGTCGTGAGTTCGAGCCCCAAGGTATGGGCGTATGTCTTTGCAATCACCTGTCGTGTAGTTTAAAAAGGATTTTTAAAGACCATCGTGTGACAAAGGGCAGACACTTGGAGCCTGTGCACGGGCTTTTTACAAAGTTCTTAAAAATTCCCATATGGTCTAGCGGTTTAGGATTCCGGTTTTCACCCAAGTCGGGCCGGTTTTTTCAACTTCCGCTATGGGAATGCTTCCATTTTTGAAGGAGCAATTTTTAATGTCATAAACCTGTCCAGGCTTATCTGATAATTCCCGTAGCTTGGCTGAACGGCAGGTTTTTGTGGCGATGGTGGTATAGGGGTTAGCATAGCTGCCTTCCAAGCAGTTGACCGGGTTCGATTCCCGGCCAGTCGCATATTTAACCAAACACAGTGATGTGATTCTTAGCAGAGAAGTGGCTTTTCATTAGAAAAAGCAATAAAAAGAAATTGTATCGTGTGTTTGGTAAAGATAATGACACTGACGGATTTGAACACGCATCCTTCTGATCCCTGGGGAGTCCCCAGACGCACTACCGTTTCGCGCCACAAAGTCCCCACACCACAACCTCAAAAGACAGGGTGATTACACTCCAAGTCCCAAAAGGATGTGATTTCCCTAAGTCCCCATGGCGACAATGGAAAATCCAGCAAATGGCCTTGGCCTGACATTACCAGAGACACGAGCAGTGTGTTTGTTGAGGCGCGTATGGTTAAGGCGATGTGACTAGAAAATCCATTGGGATTCTCCCCGCGCAGGTTCTAATCCTGCCAGACAACGCCACCTGCCATGCGGTGCCTTATCTTTCATGGACCAAAGCGCAATAGCTGGCCAGTAGAATGAATTTTCGAATTTTGGGCCAGGGGAGTGGTTGATACGTCGATTTGTTGGAGTGAGCTCTGATAAAGGCGAGGTCTCAGGCCCCTGGGAATAGAGCAAATTTCCAGCCATGGGACAAGACAACAGTGTCAGAAGTGGGATTCGAACCCACTGCTCCAGGAATGACTTGCTGACCTTGAACGCAAGCGCCTGTAGACCGCTTCGGCCATCCTGACACGACCCTGAAAGGCGGACGAGTGTGCCGAGATGGTTAAGGCGAAACGTCGTTTGTTGGAAGTGGCGCTCTGTAAAGGCGAGGTCTCAGGCCCATGGAATTAGAGCAAATTTCCCAGCCATGGACCAAGACAACTGTGTCAGAAGTGGGATTCGAACCCACGCCTCCAGGGAGACTGCGACCTGAACGCAGCGCCTTTAGACCGCTCGGCCATCCTGACATGACCTGAAATTGTGCTCTGCAGCGTGGGTTTCGAATCCCACCTCGTCGGACAAGACCCTTTCTCAGACTTTTTAGTTCCTCCACCCAAATTTCTGAAACCTAAAACAGTCCCACCCTTCCATGCATTGGTGGTCCAATGGTAGAATTCCCACCTGCCGGTCAATGCAAGCCCACTTGAATTTACGTGGATCGTCTGGGTGAGAGAGACAGAAAATCCCTGTCTTTGCAAAAAGACAGAAAATCCTGTGAAAACCCTGTTTTACGGTTGGCGATGAATGGAACAAAAGATTCCCAGAGAAAGATCTTGAGCAAATTGTAATTTGGGAGGAAAAAACGTTCTTTTTTTTTTTTTTTACTGACTTGGTTTTGTGGCACCCCATTTGTCGTGTCGCGACTGTCCATTGAAGACATTGAGGATATAATAGCAGGTTTTCTCCTGATTGGGTTTGGAGTTGGCCTGAATCTACCGCAGCGTTGGAGGGATGTCTCTACTAGCGCAGAAATTTAGTATGCAGCCAGCCTCAATGTTTTTTCACAAACTGAATTTGTCCATTGTGAGAAAATAAAGTATCATCTCTCATCCTCCATCCCATTGCGCCACTGGTTTCAAGCAACAAAATGAGGCTAGCTACATGGTTTGCTAACCGCTTGTGGGAGCGTCCCCGGGTGGAGCACGAACCCACCAACCTCTCGTCTTTAACAGTCGAGCGCGCTGGCCCTGATTGCGCCACAGAGACCTTCCGCAGCAAATGTCTAGTAGAGGGAAACAGACTTGTGTGAACAGAGTGGTCCTTGGTTTTCATGGGGGTATGGCTGTGAACAGATTGGTGGGGGGGGTATGGTTTCATGGGGGTATAGCTCAGCTGGTAGAGCATTTGACTTGCAGATCAAGAGGTCTCTGGTTCAACTCCAGATGCCCCCTCAGTAGTCTTCCCAAAGGCATGGATTGAGAGACGCTTTTGCGTGGAAATACCGTCGTCTAGGTTGGGTTAGCTTCAAAGCCTACATCGTGTCTTATGATGTGACCACCTTCGGTAGCTCAGTTTGGTAGAGGCCGGAGGACCTGTAGAAATGTAAGGCTGTCCTGTAGGTCGCTGGTTCAAAATCCGGCTCGAAGGACACTCCCTTTTGCGGCAGGAGGCTGGCTGACTGGCTGTACGTCGTTTGTTGGGAGCCTGAGCTCTCTGTGAGAGCGTCCTAAGAGCTGAATAAAGGCGAGGTCTTGGACCCACTTTGGCTTAAAATTATTATAAATGGTTGAAAATTTGGAACTGAGGTGGTGGATGTTTGAAAAAGGGGATTCCTTCCGTTCTGAGTTTTAAAATCCTTATATTTTAGCATTCCTGCGTTTTGGGTCCTCTGTCGTTTCACTTCTTGACAAGGGCCGGAGGAAAAAGGGCTTTTGTGTCTTAGAATCTCATTTATGGCTCTAATGGTGAGGTGGTAATACTAATACTAAGTAAGTAAGGTTTATTTATATAGCGCCTTTCACAGACCAGAGTCTCAAAGCGGTTTACAGTTGTTATTTTTGGACATTAGTCTGTGACTCCACACAGAGATGGGAGGGGCCAGTACAGGAGGAACAGACCTGTTGTACATGTTTTTAGTGGTAGGGGAAACTGGAGTACCCGGAGGAAACCTACGCAGACACGGGGAGAACATTCAAACTCCACTGTTTGGCCCTGTTCCGACCGGGAGCGAGAGTGCTAACCACTCAGCCACCATGCCGTCCAATAAACTAATACTAAAACTAAATAAAACTCAGAACAGCCCTAATTCTGTCAAAACCATTTAAAATCTGGGATGTCACTCCTGGACAAGTCTGGGAACTAAAGTGCACAGCAAAAAGTGGTGAAAAATGGTCAAAATGTCTCTTTTTCTGAGCACATTCTGACTGAGGCTTAAAATAAGATTCTTCAATAGGACAAAGAAAAATCTCTTGGAATGAGAATTAAAAGAAACAGTTCTTTGAAATCAGACTAAATGTCTTTGTCCCGTTGGAGATTCTGGTTTTAACACAGAATGTCCATCCATCCATCCATCCATTTTCTACCCTTTAATCCATTTCTGGGTCAGGGGGGTGGCAGTCAGAGATGCCACCCAAGTCTCATAGCACCATTGATTGATTACGTCATATTTTATCACTTTTTGTGTGGACTTCTTTAGTGGTGGGATTAAAGGAGACCTCACACATGTTACTCACCGGGTTCTTATGAGGAGCCACGCCCTGGCAGCGTGGAAGAGGCACAAGACAGGTTTAAGAGGAGGTGAACATTTAGGAGATCACCATGACAACGAAAGACACGACTCGAATGAGCAAGGTTCCTCCCAGTGGTGGACTATGGTACTACGGCGGCCCGAGAGGGCCAAAGCTGTGAGCACTGACCTGCGCGTGCACCAGGGCGTCGGAGAACAGGATGAACCAGTGCACCGAGAACCGGCTGGCGTTCTGGAGGCTCAGGGCCCGGTTACTGCTCTCACACACCAGGCGCCGCTGGGGCTTTCGCAGAGAGTCCTGTGACAGAAGAACCGGACTGGGCTCAGATCATAGACTGGAAACACTAACGGATGTCGTCAAAAGCAATTTGACTGACGTGTTCAGAATTTGATACAGAAATAAGGCCAAGAATGCAGGAGTTAAAAATAGAACATTTAATTCTCTTTACAATTAAATATCGATACAAAACCCTTGGAGCCATTAATTCTCTAAAACTAACCCTATGCCGAGCCATCCTAAAACTTTCCCTCCAGGCCTGAAAATGTGCAGAGAACATCCAGGCGCTCTGCCATGTTCTCTGTCTAACTGTCCCTGCTCTGACTTCCTGAAAATCTCCTCCCAGCAGTTTCTATCAGAAGGTCTGATGACGTCACAGGTCCCAGACTGGTCCAGTCTGATCCAGCTTTTTCTGGTTTTGGGAGGCGCGTACCCCAGCCAGCCCATGGACTCCGGACTTTGTCTGGTCTGGTCTGACATCAATCTCCTTCTCCAAACAACTCTTATCTGGCTGGGGGAGCTCTGCATTCCTCACATGGTCTGGCTGACTCGACTAGACTCCACTAATATGAAATCACTGAAAATATAAACGACGTGTGCAGCATTTCTTGAGATGATGCATTACGGACCAACTGACGCCTATTTCCTCCTTTGAAATGTATGTGCCACAGACATGGGCAGATTACAAATGGCCGCCGGCAGCCCCTCCCTCAAGAAAATGTGAACGCGTGCATTCAAAAGTCCACAGCAGCTAAACTAGACTGGTTCAAACAAATATACTCCCCTCTTCTAACCCCTGCTCAAGCAACCCTAACTACTCTCCTTGCTCCGGACGTCAGAGAACGCCGGACGGACCGCTACAGACTGAAAGACAAGCCACCATCGCCGGACGTGAAGCCTGTGGCCCTCCTGAGAACAACAGAGAACACGTGTTGTCCATGCAAGGCTTCTACAACAAGAGGCCGTGCTCTCCTCCACACGCTCGGCCCAGTATGTGCCGTGACACTGACACTAGACCGTGACCCACACCATTCTAGTGCCCTACGTTGAAACTGCCCTGTTTAGTCAATAAACCACAGATAAGTCACTTTCAGCCTCTGAGTTATTAGATGCAGTTTTAAGGGCTCCCTGACGGAGAACTTACGCTTTTAGACTGAGACTGACAAATGTGCATTTTATTAAGGTCTTAGATGCCTCTTTTCTCTCTCTCATTTCAGATAAAACCCTTTCTGTATTAGACCTAGTTAAATCACTCTCAGGAGTAAGCACAGCTCTAAGAAAGTAAACACAAGGCTATTTGAATCAATCCCATCCTAAATTACTTCTCCCACAGGACCAAGACCCACTTTTGGACCAAGACCCACTTTGGACCAAGACCCACTTTGGACCAAGACCCACTTTGGACCAAGACCCACTTTTGGACCAAGAACCACTTTTGGACCAAGAACCACTTTTGGACCAAGAACCACTTTTGGACCAAGAACCACTTTTGGACCATCTTGTAAAACAGTTTTCGAGAGGAAAGATTAAATCATTACATTCAATAGATATTTCTATTTCTGGGTACGCCACCACCAGGCAAGGAGTGGGACTGCAGCATTTCAGCGCACATGGGCCTTTTAGAGCCTAGACCCGCCCACACTGGGTCAGAACCAGAGCCGTAGAACATGGTTTTTAACATTGTACAGCCCCTAAATCTTGTTACTGTTTTCATTTGTGATCCGGGCGCCAGAACTCACCGCGTGGAGCTAATCTCACTGGTAAAGTACCATGTGGCGCAGAACTAAAAAAGGTCTCGTTATGATTCTCAAATCATTAACGACAAAACAAGGAATAAAACCAGGATTTCTATCTTTGTGAAAAAGGTGTTGGTTATAGATTTGATGTTGACTAAACTCTTGTCTATTCAGCTGTTATGGTCCCAGCTGGATTCGTCTGCATATCTGGCAACCTGAGTCAGGGAGAGAGGGAGAGGCTGCAGTACCACTTTTGGCCACATTTTTACACACTGCTCCTTTAAGTGAGGTTTTTGAGCGGCCGGACTCACGGTCATTTTCCCAGGGAAGCTCCTCCAGAAGTGCAGCGTGGACTCGGCCTGTTTGTGTTTCTGCTTCAGTTGGAGGTTAGCGGCTTCGCACAGAGAGCCGGACTCCTGCAGCCTCTGATGCTGGGCCGAGCTCTGACAAACACAAACACACAATATTCTAATGAAAAGGTCCGTATAAAACAGGGGCCATTTACTTTTGTAAGCCCATAACCACCAATGCTGCAAGTTATTAATAATAGTTAGAATCATTTTAGGGGCCATACACAGTTGTCTTGCGGGCCGGATTTAGCCCACGAGCCTAGGTTTGACACGCCTGATAAAAAACATAAAAAACAGACAAGAACTAAAGAGACACGTGACATTACTGTACTTCCTGGTCCTAAAAAGTGTATACAAACACACCTGGTCAAAAGCTGCTGCCAGTTTGAACAGCAGGCGAGAGTATTCCTGTAGATGGAGAGTGGGAAGGTAGAATAGCGCCACCAGGAGGTCGGTCATCGCAGGGTTCTCCTCGCTGCACTCGGCCAAGCGCTGCAGCAGCTCAGGGCTCTTCCCAAACAGCTCTCTGCAAACACAGCATCACCGTCAAAAAGAGAGACCAGGGTTTGCAAAAGCACAAAGGGATGGGAGGGAAAAAGTAGAGACATAGCCGAAGAAGGAGGAGGGGGGGCAGCATCATGTTGTAGGGTGTTTTGTTTACTGTGGGGGGTCTTGTGCTTCATAGCATCAATGAAAATAAGAATGTTGTGGACATTTTCAACCATCAAGAGAAAGACCAGAGAGACGAGACCAGAGAGTGACCAGAGAGAGACCAGAGAGAGACCAGAGACAGACCAGAGAGAAAGACCAGAGAGACGAGACCAGAGAGAGACCAGAGAGAGACCAGAGACAGACCAGAGAGAAAGACCAGAGAGACGAGACCAGAGAGAGAGAGCAGAGAGAGACCAGAGAGAGACCAGAGACAGACCAGAGAGAAAGACCAGAGAGACGAGACCAGGGAGAGACCAGAGAGAGACCAGAGAGAGACCAGAGACAGACCAGAGAGAAAGACCAGAGAGACGAGACCAGGGAAAGACCAGAGAGAGACCAGAGAGAGACCAGAGACAGACCAGAGAGAGACCAGAGAGAGACCAGAGAGAGACCAGAGAGAAAGACCAGAGAGACGAGACCAGGGAAAGACCAGAGAGAGACCAGAGAGAGACCAGAGACAGACCAGAGAGAGACCAGAGAGAGACCAGAGAGAGAGAGAGCAGAGAGAGAGAGCAGAGAGAGAGACCAGAGAGAGAGCAGAGAGAAACCAGAGAGAGAGACCAGAGAGAGATACCAGAGAGAGAGATACCAGAGAGAGACCAGAGACAGACCAGAGAGAGACCAGAGAGAGACCAGAGAGAGAGACCAGAGAGAGAGACCAGAGAGTGACCAGAGAGAGACCAGAGACAGACCAGAGAGAAAGACCAGAGAGACGAGACCAGAGAGAGACCAGAGAGAGACCAGAGACAGACCAGAGAGAAAGACCAGAGAGACGAGACCAGAGAGAGAGAGCAGAGAGAGACCAGAGAGAGACCAGAGACAGACCAGAGAGAAAGACCAGAGAGACGAGACCAGGGAGAGACCAGAGAGAGACCAGAGAGAGACCAGAGACAGACCAGAGAGAAAGACCAGAGAGACGAGACCAGGGAGAGACCAGAGAGAGACCAGAGAGAGACCAGAGACAGACCAGAGAGAGACCAGAGAGAGACCAGAGAGAGACCAGAGAGAAAGACCAGAGAGACGAGACCAGGGAAAGACCAGAGAGAGACCAGAGAGAGACCAGAGACAGACCAGAGAGAGACCAGAGAGAGACCAGAGAGAGAGAGAGCAGAGAGAGAGAGCAGAGAGAGAGACCAGAGAGAGAGCAGAGAGAAACCAGAGAGAGAGACCAGAGAGAGATACCAGAGAGAGAGATACCAGAGAGAGACCAGAGACAGACCAGAGAGAGACCAGAGAGAGACCAGAGAGAGAGACCAGAGAGAGAGACCAGAGAGAAAGACCAGAGAGAAAGACCAGAGAGAGATACCAGAGAGAGATACCAGAGAGAGAGCAAGTTAAGAACGGAGATGCTTCAAACCAGACGCAGCAGTATGATGAGAACTTACGCAGAGGGTTTAGTGAGAGTCTGGAACCCGCCCATGACCTGGAAGTTTCCCAGAGCGCTGCAGTAACTGCACAGAGCAACAGACATTAAAACAGCATGATCTGTTCATCAGAGTGAGTGGTGCAGAGGTTTGGACATACTCTAGGTAGCAGTCCACAAACAGCTCTGTGTGGTCCGGGAACAGCAGAGCGCCGGCCTCCTGTCTGTGCCGCAGGTTGGCGGACAGACTGGCCGCATGCTGCCCGCTCAGGTGGCACAGGACACTGAAGCGTCCAGAGACAGACTGCAGCAGAGAGAAGGCCTCCTGCCCCAAGGCCGAGCTCACAGACTCTGCAACAACAGACACAGTCACAGACTCTGCAACCACAGACACACAGACACAGACTCTGCAACAACAGACACAGTCACAGACTCTGCAACCACAGACACAGACTCTGCAACAACAGACACAGTCACAGACTCTGCAACCACAGACACAGACTCTGCAACCACAGACACACAGACACAGACTCTGCAACCACAGACACAGTCACAGACTCTGCAACCACAGACACAGACTCTGCAACAACAGACACAGTCACAGACTCTGCAACCACAGACACACAGACACAGACTCTGCAACCACAGACACACAGTCACAGACTCTGCAACCACAGACACACAGTCACAGACTCTGCAACAACAGACACAGTCACAGACTCTGCAACCACAGACACACAGTCACAGACTCTGCAACCACAGACACAGACTCTGCAACCACAGACACAGACTCTGCAACCACAGACACAGACTCTGCAACCACAGACACAGTCACAGACTCTGCAAACCACAGACAGACTCTGCAACAACAGACACAGACTCTGCAACCACAGACACACAGACACAGACTCTGCAACCACAGACACAGACTCTGCAACAACAGACACAGTCACAGACTCTGCAACAACAGACACAGTCACAGACTCTGCAACCACAGACACAGACTCTGCAACCACAGACACACAGACACAGACTCTGCAACCACAGACACACAGTCACAGACTCTGCAACCACAGACACAGTCACAGACTCTGCAACCACAGACACACAGACACAGACTCTGCAACCACAGACACACAGTCACAGACTCTGCAACCACAGACACACAGTCACAGACTCTGCAACCACAGACACACAGTCACAGACTCTGCAACCACAGACACAGTCACAGACTCTGCAACCACAGACACACACAGACTCTGCAACCACAGACACACAGTCACAGACTCTGCAACCACAGACACAGTCACAGACTCTGCAACCACAGACACACAGTCACAGACTCTGCAACCACAGACACAGCACAGCTCTGCAACCACAGACACACAGTCACAGACTCTGCAACCACAGACACCAGCACAGACCTGCAACCACAGACACACAGTCACAGACTCTGCAACCACAGACACAGTCACAGACTCTGCAACCACAGACACACAGCACAGACTCACACAGACACAGTCACAGCAAACCACAGACACACAGTCACAGACTCTGCAACCACAGACACACAGTCACAGACTCTGCAACCACAGACACACAGTCACAGACTCTGCAACCACAGACACACAGTCACAGACTCTGCAACCACAGACACAGACTCTGCAACCACAGACACAGACTCTGCAACCACAGACACAGACTCTGCAACCACAGACACAGTCACAGACTCTGCAACCACAGACAGACTCTGCAACAACAGACACAGACTCTGCAACCACAGACACACAGACACAGACTCTGCAACCACAGACACAGACTCTGCAACAACAGACACAGTCACAGACTCTGCAACAACAGACACAGTCACAGACTCTGCAACCACAGACACAGACTCTGCAACCACAGACACACAGACACAGACTCTGCAACCACAGACACACAGTCACAGACTCTGCAACCACAGACACAGTCACAGACTCTGCAACCACAGACACAGACTCTGCAACCACAGACACACAGACACAGACTCTGCAACCACAGACACACAGTCACAGACTCTGCAACCACAGACACACAGTCACAGACTCTGCAACCACAGACACACAGTCACAGACTCTGCAACCACAGACACAGTCACAGACTCTGCAACCACAGACACAGTCACAGACTCTGCAACCACAGACACACAGTCACAGACTCTGCAACCACAGACACAGTCACAGACTCTGCAACCACAGACACACAGTCACAGACTCTGCAACCACAGACACAGACTCTGCAACCACAGACACACAGACACAGACTCTGCAACCACAGACACACAGTCACAGACTCTGCAACCACAGACACAGACTCTGCAACCACAGACACAGTCACAAACTCTGCAACCACAGACAGACTCTGCAACAACAGACACAGACTCTGCAACAACAGACACAGACTCTGCAACCACAGACACAGTCAGACTCTGCAACCACAGACACAGTCACAGACTCTGCAACCACAGACACACAGTCACAGACTCTGCAACCACAGACACAGTCACAGACTCTGCAACCACAGACACACAGTCACAGACTCTGCAACCACAGACACAGACTCTGCAACCACAGACACAGACTCTGCAACCACAGACACAGACTCTGCAACCACAGACACACAGTCACAGACTCTGCAACCACAGACACAGACTCTGCAACCATAGACAGTCACAGACTCTGCAACCACAGACAGACTCTGCAACAACAGACACAGACTCTGCAACCACAGACACAGACTCTGCAACCACAGACAGACTCTGCAACAACAGACACAGACTCTGCAACCACAGACACAGTCAGACTCTGCAACCGCAGACACAGTCACAGACTCTGCAACCACAGACACACAGTCACAGACTCCGCAACCACAGACACACAGTCACAGACTCTGCAACCACAGACAGACTCTGCAACAACAGACACAGACTCTGCAACCACAGACACAGACTCTGCAACCACAGACAGACTCTGCAACAACAGACACAGACTCTGCAACCACAGACACAGTCAGACTCTGCAACCACAGACACAGTCACAGACTCTGCAACCACAGACACACAGACACAGACTTTGCAACCACAGACACACAGTCACAGACACAGACTCTGCAACCACAGACACAGTCACAGACTCTGCAACCACAGACAGACTCTGCAACCACAGACACAGACTCTGCAACCACAGACACAGACTCTGCAACAACAGACACAGTCACAGACTCTGCAACCACAGACACAGACTCTGCAACCACAGACATAGACTCTGCAACCACAGACACACAGACACAGACTCTGCAACCACAGACACAGTCACAGACTCTGCAACAACAGACACAGTCACAGACTCTGCAACCACAGACACAGACTCTGCAACCACAGACACACAGACACAGACTCTGCAACCACAGACACACAGTCACAGACTCTGCAACCACAGACACACAGTCACAGACTCTGCAACCACAGACACACAGTCACAGACTCTGCAACCACAGACACAGTCACAGACTCTGCAACCACAGACACAGTCACAGACTCTGCAACCACAGACACACAGTCACAGACTCTGCAACCACAGACACAGTCACAGACTCTGCAACCACAGACACACAGTCACAGACTCTGCAACCACAGACACAGACTCTGCAACCACAGACACACAGACACAGACTCTGCAACCACAGACACACAGTCACAGACTCTGCAACCACAGACACAGACTCTGCAACCACAGACACAGACTCTGCAACCACAGACACAGTCACAAACTCTGCAACCACAGACAGACTCTGCAACAACAGACACAGACTCTGCAACAACAGACACAGACTCTGCAACCACAGACACAGTCAGACTCTGCAACCACAGACACAGTCAGACTCTGCAACCACAGACACAGTCACAGACTCTGCAACCACAGACACACAGTCACAGACTCTGCAACCACAGACACAGACTCTGCAACCACAGACACAGACTCTGCAACCACAGACACACAGTCACAGACTCTGCAACCACAGACACAGACTCTGCAACCACAGACACAGTCACAGACTCTGCAACCACAGACAGACTCTGCAACAACAGACACAGACTCTGCAACCACAGACACAGACTCTGCAACCACAGACAGACTCTGCAACAACAGACACAGACTCTGCAACCACAGACAGACTCTGCAACAACAGACACAGACTCTGCAACCACAGACACAGTCAGACTCTGCAACCACAGACACAGTCACAGACTCTGCAACCACAGACACACAGTCACAGACTCTGCAACCACAGACACACAGTCACAGACTCTGCAACCACAGACAGACTCTGCAACAACAGACACAGACTCTGCAACCACAGACACAGACTCTGCAACCACAGACAGACTCTGCAACAACAGACACAGACTCTGCAACCACAGACACAGTCAGACTCTGCAACCACAGACACAGTCACAGACTCTGCAACCACAGACACACAGACACAGACTTTGCAACCACAGACACACAGTCACAGACACAGACTCTGCAACCACAGACACAGTCACAGACTCTGCAACCACAGACAGACTCTGCAACCACAGACACAGACTCTGCAACCACAGACACAGACTCTGCAACAACAGACACAGTCACAGACTCTGCAACCACAGACACAGACTCTGCAACCACAGACACAGACTCTGCAACCACAGACACACAGACACAGACTCTGCAACCACAGACACACAGTCACAGACTCTGCAACCACAGACACAGACTCTGCAACCACAGACACAGTCACAGACTCTGCAACCACAGACACAGTCACAGACTCTGCAACCACAGTCACAGACTCTGCAACAACAGACAGTCACAGACACAGTCACAGATACAGATACAGACAGGGCTGGACTGGGACAAAAAAACGGCCCGGGCATTTTTTCCTTCTTAGCGGCCCAGGCAACTCAAAATGTTCAAGGAGCCATATTTGACAAAAAAAATCTGTCTGGAGCCGCAAAAAAAAAAAAAAAAAACAGCGTTGTATAAGGCTTGCATGAAGGTAACAGGGGCTGAAGCTACATTAGCTACATTAGCTACCTTAGCCACATTAGCTACCTTAGCTACATTAGCTATATTAGCCTAATATCTAAATGACAAAGTAAAGGCGACAAACGCATAAAAACCATTCATGATTATCAAATGTGTATTTTCACTGCAGCATGTCCTGGAGAGAATGACGCACGTGCACGTGACAACTCTGCTTTAACTTTAACCTTCATGCAATTGTACAAATACAGTAAATAAATCTGCTTTTTGGCTCCGAGTTCACCTGCATCACTGTCTGTTCATATCCATCACAGGCAGAAGTTTGCTGGAGCTGAATGTCCTTAATGGCCTTTTCTTTCACCGTCTTTGCGGAGGTTTTTGAAGTCTGAAAATAGGTGCTCTGACTTTATGATGAATTAATCTTTCAGTGAACGGTGTTTAAAGCTTCATTGTTCATTATTGTTTTCATTACATCGCAAACATGAAGCAGTCCTTCCTCATTGACTGAAAGCAAATGTTCATTCTCATTCTTAGTCCAGTCTTATCGACTCTCTCTCTTTTTCTTTTGGGATCCATGCGCACACACAGTTAAAATTGAATATTACTTATACAAGTTTTTGCAGCATTGAAAAACGTTAAGAATGTTTTTCCTCCTACAGAAACCACATTGAAACTAGAAATAAAATATAGCCCTCACACTCCATTTTCAGACATTTTTGAAAAGGCTCCAGGAGCCACTTTAGGGGCACTAAAGGTTGCCGACCCCTGGTTTATACAGTATGTGGAAGCAAATACTGTAGAGGATCAGGATGTCTGCAGTTTCAATAACAAAATAAAGTACAATAGTCTACATTAAACAGAGTAATAAACATGTCTCAGAGTGAGGGAGGTGGGCACAGACAACACTATTGTTTGTTACAGGGATGAGAATTGGTAAACATTTCTGAAATGCATATGGTCAGCCATTAGCTGGCTCTAAATCTGTTTAATCTGTTCACAACATTTTACTTTTGGGCTCAAACATGAATTTTTAATGCAATGGAAAATTCAGGTACCCGAGCTTTAATTTAGAGGAGAGGGGAGACGCGGACTGTTTTCTGCAGCGGTGTATTTATTGGGTGCACAAATTACGCAAAGACATGCATGGTCCTGTGCGCGTTTATGGTCTTGTACATGGTCACGTTGCGGCTACGCGCTCACCGTGTTGTGTTGTGAGCGGTTCCTGCGTCCAGCTCAGAGCCGCTGGATGCGGGAACACTGCGGCCGCTGAGGTGGTGGAATCCCGTTCGAGTACATACAGCAGGTGCCCCGCGGACACGCGCGCTCCCTCGAACAGTTCTCAACGGATTTACACTTTTCACAAACATGTTTTTTGTATGAGGCAAACAGACCGGCCCAAATATGGGCATCGGCCCTTCGGGCATTGCCCGGTACGCCCGATGGCCAGTCCAGCCCTGGATACAGACACAGTCACAGACACACACAGTCACAGACACAGTCACAGACAGTCACAGACACAGTCAAAGACAGTCACAGACACAGTCACAGACAGTCACAGACACTGATCAGACTGTTCACAGACACAGACACAGTCACAGACACAGTCAGTCACAGACACAGACAGTCACAGACACAGTCAGTCACAGACACAGTCAGTCACAGACACAGTCAGTCACAGACACAGTCAGTCACAGACACAGACCACACACAGTCACCGTCACAGACCACACACCGTCACAGACACAGACAGTCACAGACACAGACACAGACCACACACAGACACAGACACAGTCAGTCACAGACACATTCACAGACACTGATCAGACTGTAATCATCCTGCTGTGACTCACCGTGCTCCAGCAGGGGGCGCACCATCTGACTCTTCACGGAGCACAGTCTGCAGTAGAACTTCCTCTCGGCTGAGGCCAGTTCATGCAGCGCGGCACAGAACGCCACGTTCTGAGACGAGACCGCGGCACAGAGCTGACCGCCGGCCCCCACGCTGCTCACATACCCCAACTGAGGGACCAGAGGGACATGAGGGACCAGAGGGAGACTCAGGGACCACAGGGAGACCGAGAGACCACAGGGACCACAGGGAGGCCGAGAGACCACAGGGAGACCAAGGGACCACAGGGAGACCAAGGGACCACAGGGAGACCGAGGGAGACAGAGGGACCAGAGGGAGACCGAGGGACATGAGGGACCAGAGGGAGACCGAGAGACACAGAGGGACACTCTCCCTCAGGGTGAGAGAGAGTGTCCCTCACCCTGAGGGAGACAGTGACTTACGTTCATGCAGAACGGCAGGAGCACAGGCTGCTGGGTGCAGGGCCCCCCTCGCTCTCTCTCCTGGGGGCCCCTGCTCTCCTGGGGGCCCCTGCTCTCCTGGGGGCCCTTGTTCACCTGCTGCCCGCTGTAGTACAGAATGGGCTGAATGCAGTCGCCGTCCGCCAGCAGCAGAGTGTGGCTGTGGCCGGCGCTGACGTCCCAGACCCGGATTCCCTCTGAAAGCTGCACACAAGCAGTTTACCTGAGGCCCGTCCTCAACCGAGGCCCGTCCTCAACCGAGGCCCGTCCTCAACCGAGGCCCGTCCTCAACCGAGGCCCGTCCTCAACCGAGGCCCGTCCTCAACCGAGGCCCGTCCTCAACCGAGGCCCGTCCTCAACCGAGGCCCGTCCTCAACAGAGGCCCGTCCTCAACAGAGGCCCGTCCTCAACCGAGGCCCGTCCTCAACCGAGGCCCGTCCTCAACCGAGGCCCGTCCTCAACCGAGGCCCGTCCTCAACCGAGGCCCGTCCTCAACCGAGGCACGTCCTCAACCGAGGCCCGTCCTCAACCGAGGCACGTCCTCAACCGAGGCCCGTCCTCAACCGAGGCCCGTCCTCAACCGAGGCCCGTCCTCAACCGAGGCCCGTCCTCAACCGAGGCCCGTCCTCAACCGAGGCACGTCCTCAACCGAGGCCCGTCCTCAACCGAGGCCCGTCCTCAACCGAGGCCCGTCCTCAACCGAGGCACGTCCTCAACCGAGGCCCGTCCTCAACCGAGGCCCGTCCTCAACCGAGGCCCGTCCTCAACAGAGGCCCATCCTCAAACCGAGGCCCGTCCTCAACCGAGGCACGTCCTCAACCGAGGCCCGTCCTCAACCGAGGCCCGTCCTCAACCGAGGCCCGTCCTCAACCGAGGCACGTCCTCAACCGAGGCCCGTCCTCAACCGAGGCACGTCCTCAACCGAGGCCCGTCCTCAACCGAGGCACGTCCTCAACCGAGGCCCGTCCTCAACCGAGGCACGTCCTCAACCGAGGCACGTCCTCAACCGAGGCCCGTCCTCAACCGAGGCACGTCCTCAACCGAGGCCCGTCCTCAACCGAGGCACGTCCTCAACCGAGGCCCGTCCTCAACCGAGGCACGTCCTCAACCGAGGCCCGTCCTCAACCGAGGCACGTCCTCAACCGAGGCACGTCCTCAACCGAGGCCCGTCCTCAACCGAGGCCCGTCCTCAACCGAGGCCCGTCCTCAACAGAGGCCAGTCCTCAACCGAGGCCAGTCCTCAACCGAGGCCCGTCCTCAACCGAGGCCCGTCCTCAACCTCACAGACTACTCACTCTGGACAGTCGGGGGATGGTACTGGGCAGGTCCATGTGCCCGAGCTGACCGCAGCTGTTACTGCCCCAGGAGAAGACCTGCACAGGAGAGGGAGGTCTGAGGGTCTGAAGGGTCTGAAGGGTCTGAGGGGTCTGAGGTTCTGAGGGGTCTGAGGTTCTGAAGGGTCTGAGGGTCTGGTCTGAAGGGTCTGGTCTGAAGGGTCTGGTCTGAGGGGTCTGAGGTTCTGAAGGGTCTGAGGGGTCTGAGGGGTCTGGTCTGAGGGGTCTGAGGGTCTGAAGGGTCTGAGGGGTCTGAAGGGTCTGAGGGGTCTGAGGGGTCTGAGGGTCTGAAGGGTCTGAGGGTCTGAAGGGTCTGAGGAGTCTGAGGGTCTGGTCTGAAGGGTCTGGTCTGAGGGGTCTGAGGGGTCTGGTCTGAGGGTCTGAAGGGTCTGAGGGTCTGAAGGGTCTGAGGAGTCTGAGGGTCTGGTCTGAAGGGTCTGGTCTGAGGGGTCTGAGGTTCTGGTCTGAGGGGTCTGAGGGGTCTGGTCTGAGGGGTCTGAGGGTCTGATGGGTCTGAGGGGTCTGAAGGGTCTGAGGGGTCTGAGGGGTCTGAGGGTCTGAAGGGTCTGAGGGTCTGAAGGGTCTGAGGAGTCTGAAGGGTCTAGTCTGAAGGGTCTAGTCTGAGGGTCTAGTCTGAAGGGTCTAGTCTGAGGGTCTAGTCTGAAGGGTCTAGTCTGAGGGAGGGGTCTGAGGGGTCTGAAGGGTCTAGTCTGAAGGGTCTAGTCTGAAGGGTCTAGTCTGAAGGGTCTAGTCTGAAGGGTCTAGTCTGAAGGGTCTAGTCTGAAGGGTCTAGTCTGAGGGTCTAGTCTGAAGGGTCTAGTCTGAGGGTCTAGTCTGAAGGGTCTAGTCTGAGGGTCTAGTCTGAGGGTCTGGTCTGAGGGTCTAGTCTGAGGGTCTGGTCTGACCTGGCACTGTGCAGTGAGGGCCACAGAGTGCTGGTCTCCCGCTGAGATGAGCAGCACCTGTTTGTTGGAGAGGCTCCTGATGCACTGGGGCTGTGATCTGAGAACAACACGTTAAACAAAAGTGAAATGGTTCTGACCCAAAGGACCAAACCTACTCCGCACCTGTCCTGCTGATCCCCGTGGCCCAGCTGACCCTGCTGCCCCTGGCCCCAGCTCCAAACCTCTGTGTGTAACGACGGCAGGCACTCCGGGGCCTCACACACTCCTCCCACTGGAGTCAGAGCCTGGGCCTGGGCCTTAGGACGCCACGCCCTCTTCAGGAGGCGAGGGGACACTGCAGGACAGACCAACATGAGCTCAACAGACTGCAGCAGGTCATGGGTTCAACCAGAGAAGGAGAGGGCCCTTCAGGACCTCAGGGCAGGAGCATGAAGCACATGGGTTTGACACCAGAACTCCAGGAGCAGTCATTTTGACGGCTTTTTGTTTTGAAAGAATAATTACTCAGCTCCTGAACATGTTATGTACCCTGTTATGAACATGTTACCCCTGTTATGTAGATTATTTTGAATAAAATTGCTTTTATTAAATAATTTATTATGGAAATGTGAGTAGCGGGAGTCATAGTTTTAATCATAGAGCAGTCATTTTGACTGCTACTTTCATTTTAGTAAAATTCAAACATAGTCACTTGGAACCAACATTCTCCAAAAGGCTGTTCAACCAGAGCAGGGTGTTGCTATGGTAATGGGCTGTGTTGCGGTGTTGAATGGACCCGTCTGGGACTGCTCTGGGAGTCCTTGTGTTGCCCGCAGCACACAGAGGAGCTGTACTTACACAGGGAGCCATACGAGGAGGATAAGAGGTGAACAGCGTATCTACCCTGAGACAAGAGTCCTGGCAGGGACAGGCGGCGGCTCGGACCCTCGGCCTCGTCCTGGATGTCCCCAGTGCTGCAGCTCTTCTTGGCCTGCCCCGAGTCCTGCCCCGAGTCCTGCCCCAGAGAGGCCTCAGCGCCCCCGAAGCGGGACAGGCCCGAGGGCAGGTACATGTTCACCATCCTGCGCAGAGACAGGGACTCGTATGTGGAGGCCACACGCTCCCCCACCGCAGAGGCACAGGACACCACCAGGCTGTTGAGAGAGGAGCCGCCTGCAGAGGGCGCCTGTGAGCACACACACAACAAAGTGGGTCCTGATCACAACAGCAGTCGTAACAGAAGAATCAGAAAATAAAACCGTTTGGACACAGGAAATACAATAATAACACACAGTGTATGAGTCTTTGGTCCACCTCAGACCACATGATCATCAATGTGGATAAATGAACCAGGCATCTCTGTCCAGACCCAGGACTGAGGCTGTAGACCCAGGACTGAGGCTGTAGACCCAGGACTGAGGCTGTAGACCCAGGACTGAGGCTGTAGACCCAGGACTGAGGCTGTAGACCCAGGACTGAGGCTGTAGACCCAGGACTGAGACTGTAGATCCAGGACTGAGGCTGTAGACCCAGGACTGAGGCTGTAGACCCAGGACTGAGGCTGTAGACCCAGGACTGAGGCTGTAGACCCAGGACTGAGGCTGTAAGTAGACCCAGGACTGAGGCTGCTGTAGACCCAGGACTGAGGCTGTAAGTAGACCCAGGACTGAGGCTGTAGACCCAGGACTGAGGCTGTAGACCCAGGACTGAGGCTGTAGACCCAGGACTGAGGCTGTAGACCCAGGACTGAGACTGTAGACCCAGGACTGAGGCTGCTGTAGACCCAGGACTGAGGCTGTAAGTAAGTAAGTAAGCTTTATTTATATACCGCCTTTCACAGACCAGTCACAAAGCGGTTTACAATTGTTATTTTTGGGCATCTGTCTCTCACTCCACACAGAGATGGGAGCGGGGCCAGTACAGGAGGCACATGCCAGAACTATTGTACATATTTTTTAGTGGTAGGGGAAACCGGAGTACCCGGAGGAAACCTACGCAGACACGGGGAGAACATGCAAACTCCACTCAGAAAGGCCCTGGTCCGGCCGGGATTCGAACCCAGGACCTTCTTGCTGAGAGGCGAGAGTGCTATCCACTCAGCCACAGTGCCGCCCTGTAGACCCAGGACTGAGGCTGTAGACCCAGGACTGAGGCTGTAGACCCAGGACTGAGGCCGTAGACCCAGGACTGAGGCTGTAGACCCAGGACTGAGGCTGAGTACGGGGGTGCATCCCACGAGTCTGGGTCGGGGGCAACCGTTCACAGATGCAGCTAATTATCAGATTTATAGATAGATTTTTATTTCTTCAGGTCTCTTCAGGTCTCTTCAGGTCCCCTCAGGTCCCCTCAGGTCCCCTCAGGTCTCTTCAGGTCCCCTCAGGTCTCTTCAGGTCCCTTCAGGTCCCCTCAGGTCCCCTCAGGTCTCTTCAGGTCTCTTCAGGTCTCTTCAGGTCCCCTCAGGTCCCCTCAGGTCTCAGGTCCCCTTCAGGTCTCTTCAGGTCCCCTCAGGTCCCCTCAGGTCTCTTCAGGTCTCTTCAGGTCCCCTCAGGTCCCCTCAGGTCCCCTCAGGTCTCTTCAGGTCTCTTCAGGTCTCTTCAGGTCCCCTCAGGTCTCTTCAGGTCCCCTCAGGTCTCTTCAGGTCCCCTCAGGTCTCTTCAGGTCTCTTCAGGTCCCCTCAGGTCCCCTCAGGTCCCCTCAGGTCTCTTCAGGTCTCTTCAGGTCTCTTCAGGTCCCCTCAGGTCTCTTCAGGTCCCCTCAGGTCTCTTCAGGTCCCCTCAGGTCTCTTCAGGTCTCTTCAGGTCCCCTCAGGTCCCCTCAGGTCCCAGGTCTCTTCAGGTCTCTTCAGGTCTCTTCAGGTCCCCTCAGGTCTCTTCAGGTCCCCTCAGGTCTCTTCAGGTCCCCTCAGGTCTCTTCAGGTCCCTTCAGGTCCCCTCAGGTCCCCTCAGGTCTCTTCAGGTCCCCTCAGGTCCCCTCAGGTCTCTTCAGGTCCCCTCAGGTCTCTTCAGGTCCCTTCAGGTCCCCTCAGGTCCCCTCAGGTCTCTTCAGGTCCCTTCAGGTCTATGTGATCTTCTCATGTTGGATTTGGTAATAACAGGCCTGAAAGCAGAAGGGGTCAGAGTGCACAGACACACACAGACACACACAGACACACACAGACACACACAGACACACACAGACACAGACACAGACACACACACAGACACACACAGACACACACAGACACACACAGACACACTATATGGAAGTCACCTTGAGTGTTGTAAACATGATGCCGTGCTCCCCGTGCTGCACACAGGGGTCCATCAGGTCTTCTATGAGGCTGACCTCTGACCCCAGGTTTCTGATTCTAAAGAAACGACGACAAACACATGTGTAAAGAAGTGTGTTTACGATAAGAGATGTGTGTGACCCCAGACTGTTACAGATGGACAATGCTAACCCGCTAGCTCCACACAGATGGACAATGCTAACCCGCTAGCTCCACACAGATGGACAATGCTAACCCGCTAGCTCCACACAGATGGACAATGCTAACCCGCTAGCTCCACTCAGATGGACAATGCTAACACGCTAGCTCCACACAGATGGACAATGCTAACCCGCTAGCTCCACACAGATGGACAATGCTAACCCGCTAGCTCCACACAGATGGACAATGCTAACATGCTAGCTCCACACAGATGGACAATGCTAACCCGCTAGCTCCACACAGATGGACAATGCTAACCCGCTAGCTCCACACAGATGGACAATGCTAACCCGCTAGCTCCACACAGATGGACAATGCTAACCCGCTAGCTCCACTCAGATGGACAATGCTAACATGCTAGCTCCACACAGATGGACAATGCTAACCCGCTAGCTCCACACAGATGGACAATGCTAACATGCTAGCTCCACACAGATGGACAATGCTAACCCGCTAGCTCCATAAAGATGGACAATGCTAACCCGCTAGCTCCACACAGATGGACAATGCTAACATGCTAGCTCCACACAGATGGACAATGCTAACCCGCTAGCTCCACTCAGATGGACAATGCTAACATGCTAGCTCCACACAGATGGACAATGCTAACCCGCTAGCTCCACACAGATGGACAATGCTAACCCGCTAGCTCCACACAGATGGACAATGCTAACCCGCTAGCTCCACACAGATGGACAATGCTAACCCGCTAGCTCCACTCAGATGGACAATGCTAACATGCTAGCTCCACACAGATGGACAATGCTAACCCGCTAGCTCCACACAGATGGACAATGCTAACATGCTAGCTCCACACAGATGGACAATGCTAACCCGCTAGCTCCACACAGATGGACAATGCTAACCCGCTAGCTCCACACAGATGGACAATGCTAACCCGCTAGCTCCACACAGATGGACAATGCTAACCCGCTAGCTCCACACAGATGGACAATGCTAACCCGCTAGCTCCACACAGATGGACAATGCTAACCCGCTAGCTCCATAAAGATGGACAATGCTAACCCGCTAGCTCCACTCAGATGGACAATGCTAACCAGCTAGCTCCACACAGATGGACAATGCTAACCCGCTAGCTCCACACAGATGGACAATGCTAACCCGCTAGCTCCACACAGATGGACAATGCTAACCCGCTAGCTCCACACAGATGGACAATGCTAACCCGCTAGCTCCATGAAGGTTTTGAGCTGTAAGGTTAGACCAATCAGATGCCTTCATTTCTAATACTAAGGCCCAGAATCTCCCTCTCTCTCCTTGGGACAGAGGAGGTTACAGAGGAGGTTACAGAGGAGGTTACAGAGGAGGTTACAGAGGAGGCTACAGAGGAGGCTACAGAGGAGGTTACAGAGGAGGTTACAGAGGAGGCTACAGAGGAGGCTACAGAGGAGGCTACAGAGGAGGTTACAGAGAGGAGGCTACAGAGAGGAGGCTACAGAGGAGGCTACAGAGGAGGTTACAGAGGAGGCTACAGAGGAGGCTGAAGAGGAGGCTACAGAGGAGGTTACAGAGGAGGCTACAGAGGAGGTTACAGAGGAGGCTACAGAGGAGGCTACAGAGGAGGTTACAGAGGAGGTTACAGAGGAGGTTACAGAGGAGGTTACAGAGGAGGCTACAGAGGAGGCTACAGAGGAGGTTACAGAGGAGGTTACAGAGGAGGCTACAGAGGAGGCTGCAGAGGAGGTTACAGAGAGGAGGCTACAGAGGAGGCTACAGAGGAGGTTACAGAGAGGAGGCTACAGAGAGGAGGCTACAGAGGAGGCTACAGAGGAGGTTACAGAGAGGAGGCTACAGAGAGGAGGTTACAGAGGAGGCTACAGAGAGGAGGCTACAGAGGAGGTTACAGAGGAGGTTACAGAGGAGGCTACAGAGGAGGCTGAAGAGGAGGCTACAGAGGAGGTTACAGAGGAGGCTACAGAGGAGGCTACAGAGGAGGCTACAGAGGAGGCTACAGAGGAGGTTACAGAGAGGAGAGCTACAGAGAGGAGGCTACAGAGGAGGCTACAGAGGAGGTTACAGAGGAGGCTACAGAGAGGAGGCTACAGAGGAGGTTACAGAGGAGGTTACAGAGAGGAGGCTACAGAGAGGAGGTTACAGAGGAGGCTACAGAGAGGAGGCTACAGAGGAGGTTACAGAGGAGGTTACAGAGGAGGCTACAGAGGAGGCTGAAGAGGAGGCTACAGAGGAGGTTACAGAGGAGGCTACAGAGGAGGCTACAGAGGAGGCTACAGAGGAGGCTACAGAGGAGGTTACAGAGAGGAGGCTACAGAGAGGAGGCTACAGAGGAGGCTACAGAGGAGGTTACAGAGGAGGTACAGAGGAGGCTACAGAGGAGGCTACAGAGGAGTACAGAGGAGGCTACAGAGGAGGCTACAGAGGAGGCTACAGAGGAGGCTAAGAGGAGGTTACAGAGGAGGCTACAGAGGAGGCTACAGAGGAGGTACAGAGGAGGCTACAGAGGAGGCTACAGAGGAGGCTACAGAGGAGGCTACAGAGGAGGCTACAGAGGAGGCTACAGAGGAGGTTACAGAGGAGGCTACAGAGGAGGCTACAGAGGAGGCTACAGAGGAGGCTACAGAGGAGGCTACAGAGGAGGTTACAGAGGAGGTTACAGAGGAGGCTACAGAGGAGGTTACAGAGGAGGACAGAGGAGGCTACAGAGAGGAGGCTACAGAGGAGGCTACAGAGGAGGTTACAGAGAGGAGGCTACAGAGAGGAGGTTACAGAGGAGGCTACAGAGGAGGCTACAGAGGAGGTACAGAGGAGGTTACAGAGGAGGCTACAGAGGAGGCTAAGAGGAGGTACAGAGGAGGCTACAGAGGAGGCTACAGAGGAGGTTACAGAGGAGGCTACAGAGGAGGCTACAGAGGAGGCTACAGAGGAGGCTAAGAGGAGGTACAGAGGAGGTTACAGAGGAGGCTACAGGGAGGCTACAGAGAGGAGGCTACAGAGGAGGCTACAGAGGAGGTTACAGAGGAGGTACAGAGGAGGCTACAGAGAGGTACAGAGAGGCTACAGAGGAGGTTACAGAGGAGGCTACAGAGGAGGTTACAGAGGAGGCTACAGAGGAGGCTACAGAGGAGGCTTACAGAGGAGGTACAGAGGAGGTACAGAGGAGGTTACAGAGGAGGTACAGAGGAGGCTACAGAGGAGGCTACAGAGGAGGTACAGAGGAGGCTACAGAGGAGGCTACAGAGGAGGTACAGAGGAGGTTACAGAGGAGGCTACAGAGGAGGCTACAGAGGAGGTACAGAGGAGGCTACAGAGGAGGCTAAGAGGAGGTACAGAGGAGGCTACAGAGGAGGTACAGAGGAGGTACAGAGGAGCTACAGAGGAGTACAGAGGAGGTACAGAGAGTTACAGAGGAGGCTACAGAGAGGAGGCTACAGAGGAGGTTACAGAGGAGGCTACAGAGAGGAGGCTACAGAGGAGGTTACAGAGGAGGCTACAGAGAGAGGTACAGAGGAGGTTACAGAGGAGGCTACAGAGGAGGCTACAGAGAGGAGGTACAGAGGAGGTACAGAGGAGGCTACAGAGAGGAGGCTACAGGAGAGGAGGCTACAGAGGAGGCTACAGAGGAGGTACAGAGGAGGTACAGAGGAGGCTACAGAGGAGGCTACAGAGGAGGCTACAGAGGAGGCTACAGAGGAGGCTACAGAGGAGGCTACAGAGGAGGCTACAGAGGAGGCTACAGAGGAGGCTACAGGAGGCTACAGAGAGGAGGCTACAGAGGAGGTTACAGAGGAGGTTACAGAGGAGGTTACAGAGGAGGTTACAGAGGAGGCTACAGAGAGGAGGCTACAGAGAGGAGGCTACAGAGGAGGTTACAGAGGAGGTTACAGAGGAGGCTACAGAGGAGGTTACAGAGGAGGCTACAGAGAGGAGGCTACAGAGAGGAGGCTACAGAGGAGGCTACAGGAGGCTACAGAGAGGAGGCTACAGAGAGGAGGCTACAGAGGAGGCTACAGAGGAGGCTACAGAGGAGGTTACAGAGGAGGTTACAGAGGAGGTTACAGAGAGGAGGCTACAGAGGAGGCTACAGAGGAGGTTACAGAGGAGGTTACAGAGGAGGCTACAGAGCAGGCTACAGAGAGGAGGCTACAGAGGAGGTTACAGAGGAGGCTACAGAGGAGGCTACAGAGGAGGCTACAGAGTAGGTTACAGAGGAGGCTACAGAGGAGGCTACAGAGGAGGTTACAGAGAGGAGGCTACAGAGGAGGCTACAGAGGAGGCTACAGAGGAGGTTACAGAGGAGGCTACAGAGAGGAGGCTACAGAGGAGGTTACAGAGGAGGCTACAGAGGAGGCTACAGGAGGTTACAGAGGAGGCTACAGGAGGTTACAGAGGAGGTTACAGAGGAGGTTACAGAGGAGGTTACAGAGAGGAGGCTGAAGAGGAGGCTACAGAGGAGGCTACAGAGGAGGTTGCAGAGGAGGCTGCAGAGGAGGCTGCAGAGGAGGCTACAGAGGAGGCTACAGAGGAGGCTGCAGAGGAGGTTACAGAGAGGAGGCTACAGAGGAGGCTACAGAGGAGGTTACAGAGGAGGCTACAGAGGAGGCTACAGAGGAGGTTACAGAGGAGGCTACAGAGGAGGCTGCAGAGGAGGTTACAGAGGAGGCTACAGAGGAGGCTACAGAGGAGGCTACAGAGGAGGTTACAGAGGAGGCTACAGAGGAGGCTACAGAGGAGGTTACAGAGGAGGCTACAGAGGAGGCTGCAGAGGAGGTTACAGAGGAGGCTGCAGAGGAGGCTGCAGAGGAGGTTACAGAGGAGGCTGCAGAGAGGAGGCTGCAGAGGATGTTACAGAGGAGGCTGCAGAGAGGAGGCTGAAGAGGAGGTTACAGAGGAGGTTACGGAGAGGAGGCTGAAGAGGAGGTTACAGAGAGGAGGCTGAAGAGGAGGTTACAGAGAGGAGGCTGCAGAGGAGGTTACAGAGGAGGTTACAGAGGAGGTTACAGAGGAGGTTGCAGAGGAGGCTACAGAGGAGGTTACAGAGGAGGTTACAGAGGAGGCTACAGAGAGGAGGCTACAGAGGAGGTTACAGAGGAGGCTACAGAGGAGGTTACAGAGGAGGTTACAGAGGAGGGTACAGAGAGGAGGTTACAGAGGAGGTTACAGAGGAGGTTACAGAGGAGGCTACAGAGAGGAGGTTACAGAGGAGGGTACAGAGAGGAGGCTACAGAGGAGGTTACAGAGGAGGTTACAGAGGACGCTACAGAGGAGGTTACAGAGGAGGTTACAGAGAGGAGGTTACAGAGGAGGTTACAGAGGAGGTTACAGAGGAGGGTACAGAGGAGGTTACAGAGGAGGCTACAGAGAGGAGGTTACAGAGGAGGGTACAGAGAGGAGGTTACAGAGGAGGCTACAGAGGAGGTTACAGAGGAGGTTACAGAGGAGGCTACAGAGGAGGTTACAGAGGAGGTTACAGAGGAGGGTACAGAGAGGAGGTTACAGAGGAGGTTACAGAGGAGGGTACAGAGAGGAGGTTACAGAGGAGGTTACAGAGGAGGTTACAGAGGAGGCTACAGAGAGGAGGTTACAGAGGAGGGTACAGACAGGAGGTGACAGAGGAGGCTACAGAGGAGGTTACAGAGGATGTTACAGAGGAGGTTACAGAGGAGGTTACAGAGGAGGTTACAGAGGAGGTTACAGAGGAGGTTACAGAGGAGGTTACAGAGGAGGTTACAGAGGAGGTTACAGAGGAGGTTACAGAGGAGGTTACAGAGGAGGTTACTGACCGAGCGCGCAGGACCACGTAGAGAAAGACGGGGAACAGCTCGTCCATGGACCAGAGGAAGTCCTGCTGCAGCAGAGACTGCACCTCCTGCGTGATCTCCTCAAACGTCAACTGGATCAACTGCAGTTTGTCTGAAGGAGTGAAGGTGGTGCTGCAACAACACAGACATCAGGAGAGAGCAGAGAGGAGAGGAGAGCAGAGAGGGAGAGAGGAGAGAGGAGAGGAGAGGGAGAGAGGAGAGGGAGAGAGGAGAGAGGAGAGAGGAGAGGAGAGGGAGAGAGGAGAGGGAGAGAGGAGAGGGAGAGAGGAGAGGAGAGGGAGAGAGGAGAGAGGAGAGAGGAGAGGAGAGGGAGAGAGGAGAGAGGAGAGAGGAGAGAGAGAGCAGAGAGGAGAAAGGAGAGAGGAGAGGAGAGGGAGAGAGGAGAGGGGAGAGGAGAGGGAGAGAGGAGAGGGAGAGAGGAGAGGGAGAGAGGAGAGAGGAGAGAGGAGAGAGGAGAGCAGAGAGGGAGAGAGGAGAGAGCAGAGAGGAGAGAGCAGAGAGAGGAGAGAGGGAAAGAGCAGAGAGGGAGAGAGGAGAGAGGAGAGGAGAGGGAGAGAGAGAGGAGAGGGAGAGAGGAGAGAGGAGAGAGCAGAGAGGAGAGAGCAGAGAGAGGAGAGAGGGAAAGAGCAGAGAGGGAGAGAGGAGAGAGGAGAGGAGAGGGAGAGAGGAGAGGGAGAGAGGAGAGGGAGAGAGGAGAGAGGAGAGAGGAGAGCAGAGAGGGAGAGAGGAGAGAGGAGAGCAGAGAGGGAGAGAGGAGAGGGAGAGAGGAGAGAGGAGAGAGGAGAGAGCAGAGAGGAGAGAGGAGAGAGGAGAGAGGAGAGAGAGAGCAGAGAGGAGAGAGGAGAGAGGAGAGAGCAGAGAGGAGAGAGCAGAGAGAGGAGAGAGGGAAAGAGCAGAGAGGGAGAGAGGAGAGAGGAGAGAGAGGAGAGAGGAGAGAGAGAGAGAGAGGAGAGAGAGAGCAGAGAGGAGAGAGGAGAGAGGAGAGAGCAGAGAGGAGAGAGCAGAGAGAGGAGAGAGGGAAAGAGCAGAGAGGGAGAGAGGAGAGAGGAGAGAGAGGAGAGAGGAGAGAGAGGAGAGAGGGAGAGAGGAGAGAGGAGAGAGAGCAGAGAGGGAGAGAGGAGAGAGGAGAAAGAGCAGAGAGGGAGAGAGGAGAGAGGAGAGAGAGCAGAGAGGGAGAGAGGAGAGAGCAGAGGCAGTACCTGATCTGCTGCAGAGTCTCCACTGCGGAGGCAAAGCATTGGTCTTTGGAGCTGGACAGAACCTGAGCGACATCACATTTATCTTTAAACTTTGAATACATAAAAGTGCCGCCTGTGTCTGCTCTGTAGCACTTTGTACCTGTGTCCTCTGAGTCTCTGTAGCACTTTGTACCTGTGTCCTCTGAGTCTCTGTAGCACTTTGTACCTGTGTCCTCTGAGTCTCTGTAGCACTTTGTACCTGTGTCCTCTGAGTCTCTGTAGCACTTTGTACCTGTGTCCTCCGAGTCTCTGTAGCACTTTGTACCTGTGTCCTCTGAGTCTCTGTAGCACTTTGTACCTGTGTCCTCTGAGTCTCTGTAGCACTTTGTACCTGTGTCCTCCGAGTCTCTGTAGCACTTTGTACCTGTGTCCTCCGAGTCTCTGTAGCACTTTGTACCTGTGTCCTCTGAGTCTCTGTAGCACTTTGTACCTGTGTCCTCTGAGTCTCTGTAGCACTTTGTACCTGTGTCCTCTGAGTCTCTGTAGCACTTTGTACCTGTGTCCTCTGAGTCTCTGTAGCACTTTGTACCTGTGTCCTCTGAGTCTCTGTAGCACTTTGTACCTGTGTCCTCTGAGTCTCTGTACCGCACTTTGTACCTGTGTCCTCTGAGTCTCTGTAGCACTTTGTACCTGTGTCCTCTGAGTCTCTGTAGCACTTTGTACCTGTGTCCTCTGAGTTCCAGGAGACGCGCTTGGATCTGGTTTAACTTCAGGCCAGAACTTTCTAGAACAACAAGAGAAACATTTTTAGGACACCAGAGACCAGAGAGAGACCAGAGAGAGACCAGAGAGAGAGACCAGAGAGAGGGACCAGAGAGAGGGACCAGAGAGAGAGACCAGAGAGAGACCAGAGAGAGACCAGAGAGAGACCAGAGAGAGAGACCAGAGAGAGGGACCAGAGAGAGAGACCAGAGAGAGACCAGAGAAAGACTAGAAAGAGAGACCAGAGAGAGACCAGAGAGAGAGACCAGAGAGAGACCAGAGAGAGAGACCAGAGAGAGAGACCAGGGAAAGACCAGAGAGAGGCCAGAGAGAGACCAGAGAGAGAGACCAGAGAGAGGCCAGAGAGAGACCAGAGAGAGACCAGAGAGAGAGTCCACAGAGAGAGAGACCAGAGAGAGACCACAGAGAGAGAGAGAGCAGTCTGTCTGAGGGTCTTACTGCTGCACTCCCAGGAAGGCGAGCAGAGCCGGGTCGTTCTGTTTGTTGAGGCGCAGCACACACTCCCAGTAAACGTCGTCCTCCTTCTCTTTGTCCAGAGCGTAGAGCGTGAAGAGCGGAGGGTAGAGGCGAGGGAGGAGGACGGGCAGCAGGAGGCCACAGGAGCTGACCACACGCCTGCAGAGAGAGAGACCAGAGAGAGCAGAGAGCACACATCAGGACCAGAGAGAGAGACCAGAGAGAGACAGAGAGAGCAGAGAGCACACGTCAGGACCAGAGAGAGACCAGAGAGAGGAGAGAGCACACGTCAGGACCAGAGAGAGAGAGAGAGAGCAGAGAGCACACATCAGGACCAGAGAGAGACCAGAGAGAGCAGAGAGCACACGTCAGGACCAGAGAGAGACCAGAGAGAGCAGAGAGCACACGTCAGGACCAGAGAGAGAGACCAGAGAGAGACAGAGAGAGCAGAGAGCACACGTCAGGACCAGAGAGAGACCAGAGAGAGCAGAGAGCACACGTCAGGACCAGAGAGAGACAGAGAGAGACAGAGAGACCAGAGAGAGACCAGAGAGAGACAGAGAGAGCAGAGAGCACACGTCAGGACCAGAGAGAGACCAGAGAGAGCAGAGAGCACACGTCAGGACCAGAGAGAGACAGAGAAAGCAGAGAGCACACATCAGGACCAGAGAGAGACCAGAGAGAGCAGAGAGCACACATCAGGACCAGAGAGAGACAGAGAGAGCAGAGAGCACACGTCAGGACCAGAGAGAGACCAGAGAGCACACATCAGGACCAGAGAGAGACAGAGAGAGAGCAGAGAGCACACGTCAGGACCAGAGAGAGACAGAGAGAGAGCAGAGAGCACACGTCAGGACCAGAGAGAGACCAGAGAGCAGAGAGCACACGTCAGGACCAGAGAGACACCAGAGAGAGAGAGCAGAGAGCACACGTCAGGACCAGAGAGAGACCAGAGAGAGCAGAGAGCACACGTCAGGACCAGAGAGAGACCAGAGAGCAGAGAGCACACGTCAGGACCAGAGAGACACCAGAGAGAGAGAGCAGAGAGCACACGTCAGGACCAGAGAGAGACCAGAGAGAGCAGAGAGCACACGTCAGGACCAGAGAGAGACCAGAGAGAGCAGAGAGCACACGTCAGGACCAGAGAGAGACCAGAGAGAGCAGAGAGCACACATCAGGACCAGAGAGAGACCAGAGAGAGCAGAGAGCACACATCAGGACCAGAGAGAGACCAGAGAGAGACAGAGAGAGCAGAGAGAGAGAGACCAGAGAGAGAGCAGAGAGAGAGAGCAGAGAGCACACGTCAGGACCAGAGAGAGAGAGAGAGAGAGAGAGAGCAGAGAGCACACGTCAGGACCAGAGAGAGAGCAAAGAGCACACATCAGGACCAGAGAGAGAGCAGAGAGAGACAGAGAGCACACATCAGGACCAGAGAGAGACCAGAGAGAGAGCAGAGAGCACACGTCAGGACCAGAGAGAGAGAGAGAGAGACAGAGAGAGCAGAGAGCAAACGTCAGGACCAGAGAGAGAGAGAGAGACAGAGAGAGGCAGAGAGCAAACGTCAGGACCAGAGAGAGAGAGAGAGAGACAGAGAGAGGCAGAGAGCAAACGTCAGGACCAGAGAGAGACAGAGAGAGCAGAGAGCACACGTCAGGACCAGAGAGAGAGCAGAGAGCACACATCAGGACCAGAGAGAGAGAGAGAGAGAGCAGAGAGCACACATCAGGACCAGAGAGAGAGAGAGAGAGAGCAGAGAGCACACGTCAGGACCAGAGAGAGAGCAGAGAGAGAGCAGAGAGCACACGTCAGGACCAGAGAGAGAGCAGAGAGCACACATCAGGACCAGAGAGAGAGAGAGAGAGAGCAGAGAGCACACGTCAGGACCAGAGAGAGAGAGAGAGAGCAGAGAGCACACGTCAGGACCAGAGAGAGAGCAGAGAGAGAGCAGAGAGCACACGTCAGGACCAGAGAGAGAGCAGAGAGAGAGCAGAGAGCACA